TTAGCTGGTTTGTTAAACTTTAGCTTGTAGCTATTGATTAGCCACTGGTTTGCTAAATTTGACCTTTTAGCTACAGTTTTGCTAAAGTTTAGCTTATATACTTTGGTTTGGTAATCTTTAGTTGTTAGCTGGTTTGCTAAACATTAGCTTGTTAGCTACAGGTTAATTTTTAGCTTTTAGCTGCTTGTATGTTAAATTTTAGCTTTTGCGTCAGCTCAATTTTTCCTTATAGCTTCTGTTTTGCTAGCCTTTAGCTGTTGTTCCAGCTGTTTCACCTTGTAGCAGCTCTTTCAGCTCAGCGTTTAGTTTATAGTTTAGCTGAATTATTAATTAAAAAAATCTGAAACTTAAGTCAACGAGTTCAACGAATCAACGGTTCTGATCAAAACAGACGTTTCTTGTTTCGGTTTAGAAACGGAAAGCCGCGGATCAGACCGAGAGGAAGCCGAAGCGCCTCAGAGTGAAGACGGGTCGGACCGGGTCGGGGGACGGGTCGTCCGTTTTGGACGGCGTGCAGATTGAACATGGGTTCCACACGGTTCAGCTGTTTGAGGTTTCTGTCGACCAGTCACAGCCTGCGGAGTCCGGTCTGGACCCGGGTGACATCAGAGGACCTTACAGTTCTCTTCAGGTGGACCCACAGGGACCAGGGGACACAGTGGACACGGGTCTAAATGTCCCTTTGACTTTCTGTCAGAGAGAAGATGGTCCCATCAACAGCATGGACGGTGCACAGTTGGTTCTGGTGCCGGAAACGCAGGACGAGCTCGTTAAACGAAGCACTGCGGCCATTTTAGGAGTGGGCCCGTCGGTGGTCCTGGACCTGCCCAGACCTGAAGAGTCCGGACCCTCCTGGGCCGAGGAGTTCTCAAAGGTCCACGAATGTCAGGAGGTCATCGCCTACTTTGAGACCATACCAAACGTTCTCCCCAGCGAGACCTCGACCCGGTTCTCCGTCTCCCCGGACACGGTGCTGTCCTCTGCTCTGAGCTCCAAGCCCATCTTGTCCACCCTGCCCATCGTGTCCAAACACGTCCCGCCTTCGTCCACCCTGCCCATCGTGTCCAAACACGTCCCGACTTCGTCCCTGGTCCTGACTCTGGAGCCCCTCGACTCTGAGGAGGGGGACGGAGCCGCGCCGGAGGACGTGGAGCAGGAGGACCAGCAGCTGGAGGAGCACCGGTGAGGTCCGCCCCCTGAGTCTTTTCATTCATGAAAACCTGTAACTTTGGTTTGTCTGTCCGGTTGGGTTCGGCTCCAACAGGTACCACAGAACCAGCCTGAGCAAGGAGCAGCTGGAGGCCGTCGTAGCCGAGCTGCAGAAGAAGGTCAAAGTTCTGCAGCAGCGACACCGCCGGCACCTGGAGAAGCTCCTGGGTCTGGAAAACACCGTGAGCCAGCTGCGGCAGAACAACCTGCTGAACGAGGAGCGGCTGCAGCTGCTGGAGAGGGTATTTACCTCCGTTAGCAGCTAAAGTTTAATCTAGACTGAGCCTTTGTACTTCAGCTACATTTTACCCACTTTAGCTTTTAGCTCATCTTTGGCTGTGTGTAGCCAAACTTGTGCAACTCTTTAACTAGCTTTTTTTTTTCTTTTAGCTTCAAAATAGTAATTTTCCCCTTTTTAGCTTTGAGCTCATTTTAGCTTTTACCTACCCTTTACTCCTTGAGTTTTTAGCTGTTTGCTGCATTTAGCTTGCTTTCAGCTACTGTTTTAGCTAACTCCTGACACCTTAGTGTCAGTTTTTTCAGAGGACCATCTATTTGTGGTGTTTAGCAAAAAACAAAATGCTAATTTAGCTTTTGTAGCTTTTAGCTTGTGTTTTCTATGTTTAGCTATCTTTTTGCTGCTTTGAGCTTTAGTTATTTTTTTGCCTTAAGTTTATTTTTGCTACTTTTATTCTGCTACTTTTTACTTTGAACATTTTTCTTCTTTTAGCTGCTAGCTAAAGTTTTTGCTCCTGTGGCTCTTAGCTAGCATTTTGTTTTAGCTTTTAGCTTGGGTTCTGCTTTAAAAAAAAACCTTAAATAACTTCGTCCTCGTCAGTCCTGCTGCTGCCAGTCTCTCGTTCTGGTTTAGTTTTGAAACGTGTTTTATTTGTTTTTCCTTCAGGCGTATCAGCAGACGACTGCAGCGGCGTCGGGTCCTGGTGAGACGGTCACCATCATCTACGAGGACGACACTGCGTACTTGTATACACCAGCACACGATGAAGGGACCATGTTGGCTGTGGACATCAGTGGAGACTGTGGACGTCTTGTGTGACTGTGGATGTCCTGTCTCTGTGGATGTTCTGTCTCTGTGGACATCAGTGGAGACTGTGGACGTCTTGTGTGACTGTGGACGTCCTGTCTCTGTGGATGTTCTGTCTCTGTGGACGTCCTGTCTCTGGACGTCCTGTCTCTGGACGTCCTGTGTCTCTGTAGACGTCCTGTGTCTCTGGACGTCCTGTGTCTCTGTGGACATCCTGTGTCTCTGTGGACTTCCTGTGTCTCTGTGGACGTCCTTTTTCTCTGTGGACGTCTTGTGTGACTGTGGACGTCCTGTCTCTGTGGACGTCCTGTGTCTCTGTGGACGTCCTGTGTCTCTGTGGACTTCCTGTGTCTCTGTGGACGTCCTTTTTCTCTGTGGACGTCTTGTGTGACTGTGGACGTCCTGTGTGACTGTGGACGTCCTGTGTCTCTGTGGACTTCCTGTGTCTCTGTGGACTTCCTGTGTCTCTGTGGCCTTCCTGTGTCTTATCAAAGCAAAGCTTGTTGATTGTTGACAAACTGAAGTTCTTCTGAACTTTTTTTTGAAACCTGAGAATAAACGTTGAACAACTTTGATCTTTTTTAATGTTTTCTAATCAAACTACTTTCAGGCCTCGGTTCCGTCAACAAGTCACCTGGTCAGTCACTGATACCTGAACAGGTTGGATATTCTTTACTCCACATGCGTTTGTGACCCGCTCCTTTTGGACCTCCCTCATCAGAACTCTGGAACCTGCAGCCTGGCCCCCCACGTGGTGCAGCTCCTGTCCGCTCCACTAGAGGGCAGCCGTGTCCCCCTGCAGGCCTGCACCGCTCATGGAGGACAAACAGGAAGTGAGGTCAGAGAGGGACCTGCAGTTCGTCTCTGGACTCAACCTGAGTCTTGACAATAAAAGTAAAGCAATGATCCAGTTCTTCTTATGGAGATGATGTTCGTTCACTCCGTACACCTTTACCACCAACTGGATTGACTTTTCCAAACCTGTTGAAATATTTAAATGTGCAGAAAACATTCCTCGATTCTTTGATCCATATCAGCTGTTCATCAACACGACTCGTTCTTATCAGTCCTGGAGAGCACGTGAAGATCAATCTGCACGTTCTTCACACAGGAACCACGAAGCAGCTGCTCTGACTCATCTCTGCAGGAAAAAGACGTCCCAACGTTCCTTTAAGACCATTATGAAAGCGTTCGCTCCCACTGGAGTCGTTCTGTGGGAAATGTGAGCTGACAGTCAGTTCCTCTTCTAACGAGGTGAAAGACCAAACAGGAAGTCACAAACCTGACGTTTCTACGAACGTCTGTGACCTCAATCTGTCGCTCCTTCAAGCTCGTTTCAGAGGATGGATATATTTTTACGTTTCATTCTCATTTGTTCCCTCACGTTCTTCTGCTCTGGAAACGTTCTGCGAGTCGTTACGGCTTACGGCACATAGCTCGCCCGTCGACAAACTATCATACAGCAACACGCCAAGAGCTTTAACTTTGACCTTGATCGGTGACCTTGGAAACGTGTAGCGATGACGCATACGTGTAAGAAGTCTCATGAAATTATCTTCAGTGAATCAGAAGTTATGGGCGGAGTTTAGTCAAATTCAGCAAATCAGAAGTTATGGGTGGAGTTTCATCAAATTCAGCGCATCAGAAGTTATGGGCGGAGTTTCGTCAAATTCAGCAAATCAGAAGTTATGGGTGGAGTTTCATCAAATTAAGCGCATCAGAAGTTATGGGCGGAGTTTCATCAAATTATCTTCAATGAATCAGAAGTTATGGGCGGAGTTTAATCAAATTCAGCGTATCAGAAGTTATGGGTGAAGTTTCATCAAATTATCTTCAGCGAATCAGAAGTTATGGGCAAAGTTTAGTCAAATTCAGCAAATCAGAAGTTATGGGCGGAGTTTCGTCAAATTATCTTCAGCGAATCAGAAGTTATGGGCGGAGTTTAGTCAAATTCAGCAAATCAGAAGTTATGGGCCGAGTTTTGTCAAATTATTTTTGGCGTATCAAGTTGGGGTGGAGTTTCATCAAATTATCTTGAGCATATCAGAAGTTATGGGCGGAGTTTAATCAAATTCAGCTTATTAGAAGTTATGGGTGGAGTTTCGTCAAATTATCTTCAGCGAATAAGAAGTTATGGGCGGAGTTTAGTCAAATTCAGCAAATCAGAAGTTATGGGCGGAGTTTTGTCAAATTATCTTCGGCATATCAGGAGTTATGGGCGGAGTTTTGTCAAATTATCTTAGGCGTATCAGAAGTTATGGGCGGAGTTTAATCAAATTATCTTGAGCATATCAGAAGTTATGAGCGGGGACAAGAGAAAGTTTATGTTTGTGCCGATGGACAGACCGTATAATTAAACATCCACCTCCCGTATAAAAAACAACGTTAAATAAATCACGAACGGCAACGTTCGTACTCATTAATGCAAATTAAAATGTTTTATAGCTTATTTTAAGCTTAATTTGCACTCGGTTCTACTGTGTACCGATGAAACAACAAACAAACAAAAATATTAACGTTTTAAAATCCCTGATTAAATTTCGATTTGACTTCTTTTTGTTCCGTTCACTCTTATTTTCATTTTATCATTTGTTGTGTATTCTGTACTGTTTGTATAAAGTAAAAAAAAAAAAAAAAAAAGTTTTATCACCCGCCGCTAATTAACAAAACTCAGGAAGTGATGACGTTTACACGTGACTAATGTTTGGAGCAACCCTCTTCAAGATGGCCGCCACAGCGCATCAACATTAGCAAACCCAGAGAAAGTAACAACTTAGTCAGTTGTTCAGATGTTGAGCTAAACTTTGGTGTGGTAGTAGCTGAGAGTTTTTCACAACACGTTCTCTGAGTGTTAATGCATCTCACGAGATGTGGCTGTGGCGGCCATCTTGATTAAAGTCTCAACGCAGGTGAAACGCGTTCCTTGAAGGATCGTCTTTTTATTTGGTGGAGAACCAAAAAAGTTTAGTTGTTTTAAAAATTTTAAATTTACCATTAAATAAAAAAAACAACAACTGGGTTTTGATCCACCAGAAACTTTCAGAGCCGTTTAGTCGCTGATTAAAATCCTGCTCGCCAGTCGAGTTTAAAAACAAATTTTGTGTAAAACCAGATTTAGGAATCGAACTGCAGCAGAGCTGTTTGTTCCTTGTTGATTTTAATAAAACTATAAAACGTGACCGAATGTCACAACTCTTTAAGATGTTTTTTTTTTTCCATAAAATCTTAAGTTTTGTTTTTTAATCCTCTGGTGCCGTCGGCTCCGCTCGGAGTTTAGTTTCACAGAATGGTTTCTGTTCAAACCAGCGTTTAATTCTGCAGAACTCTCGCGTGATTCCCACGTTTTAGCATTTTAATAACTTCAGCTCGGGGTGTAAAATTTGATTTGTGAGTAGTCAGTATCTCACCTGCAGCAGACGGCAGTAGGCAAAAAAAAAAACACGTAATGGAATCGAATGGAAGTGTTTTTGGCGTCTGAAATGATGCGTTGTGACTTTTAAATCTCAACTTTGCATTAAACGTTTTTTATTCTTTTGTCACTGTTTATGAATCCATCCACGTCCTTGTTGCTCAAACCCCTCAGCACTGCCCGTCTGAGTCCAGGCGGAGTTGATCTGTCTCCTAAATCCTCGGTTTCTTCTGAATCACAGATGTTCTTTTCAGAAGAATCTATGGCTCCTGTTAACCCTCAGAAGGCCCTTTATGACACTGACATGAAGCCTCAACGCCTTTAAAATACTATTTCATAATATTTTATCTACAATAAACAAGTCAATCTTTTAGTCATCTCGACCTGAAATAATAATCACATTTACATTTTAGCTCCTTCAGGACCTTTATTTTGAAAAACTCCACAATTCAGTTTTATTAATGGACAAACTATTTATTTATTTTCAGCATTTCAAGGAATGGAATAAATAAAAAATAAAACCTTTGCCCCCTCAGTGTGCCCCCAAACGATTTTTGAGTTTAAAAAAACAGTAGAAGCAGAAAACGAGGCTTCACTTTTGGTCAAACTTCCACGAGTCTGTTTCTCTGCTGGCGTCTTTTGTTTGGTGGAGCCAGCAGGAGTCGGCCGTAATGAGGATCTGCTCGTTGCACGAAGCTTTACCGCAGGAAGTTTTCGCCCTTCAGAACCAAAACCGTTTTGTGGTTTGAGCGACGGATGCCCTGCCGCCCTGGGCGCACCTCCATCAGGTGAGATGTACAGCACCCGCAGGTGTAAAGAGGAGCATCACATATTCAGCTATTATAAAATAAAGTTAAGAGATATCAAGGTGAAATAAAACACGTTGCATAAAGGTCTGCAGTATTTTATGATATGAAGTACAAGATATTTATAATGGGATTTCAATAAGGTAGTTTCTACTGACCACTAGAGGGCAGTATTGTTCCCGTGAGGTTACCGGAGCATTTAAAACGACTGACAAAATAAAAATATTACAGCCACCATAATAAAATGAAAGTGTGGCTGATGAGACCTTCCTGGGGTTACTCATCCAGGCTTGGTTTACGCAGTTTTTAGGCGAAAACGTAGAATTTCTGTGGCGTTTTGGCCGTTCATGGATACGACAACAGGCCATTTTGTCTGACAGCCAAACCTTCTGAAACCAGGTTTTTGGAAATTCCTGGTTTGGTTTTAATGGAAACTCAACTTACGTGAAGTCACACGTGCGCACCGACGGCTGAGGTCGGTAATTTTTCTGTGGTCGCACGCTTAAATCGTCAACAGTAACAATGGCGAGGAGCAGAGAGCCGTCGCGTCGGTGCATGTTCCTTCAGAGTCGCAGCGTAAAGTTACGTGCGGCAGAGAACGAACATCGGTCCAAACAGACAAACCCGCCATTTAGGAAAAATAATTATTGCGTTCAACTCGAAATACAAAAATCACAGCGCTGGCAAGTGACCTGGGATGACGACCACGGCGGATTCGACGTTTTGGTCTCGTCTAAGCAGCGGTCACGACCACAGCGTTACCGTGGAAACCTATAACTTCTCCACAATTTTAAACAAGGCGTCAGTTTTTGTGGATTCATCCAGCAGAGCTCGCAACTGCGTACGACAACACGAATGTTAGTCCGTGGAGAAAAAAACGTACAATAGTCCCTTGATACTTCGCGGTTCGGCTTTCGCGGACTCACTCTTTCGTGGGTTTTCAACGTAACATTGTGCACGACACACGATTGGCTGATTGATGGAAGACGACCAACCAGAGCATTGTGCTGAGGGGGGGACGGGCCATCGGGAGCACCGGGACATTTCCCGGTGGCCTGGTCCGCTCAGGATTGCCAAAGGGCTGGACTAAAGGCTCGGTTAGGGTCGCGCTTTATTATTTTAAATAAACAATCCACGCCACTCACTCAGGTATCCGCCTCCCTGAAGCTCCCTGACAGTAGTGATGGGGAAAGACAGACTCCGCCCCCTCCTTTCTCTTTTAATATATACACAGGTGTTGGTCATAAAATAAGAATATCATAAAAAAGTTGATTTATTTCAGTAATTCCATTGAAAAAGTGAAAGTTTTATGGATAACATGGTGAAAATATGACTTTGAAAAAAAAAACACCTTTTATTTTTCCTTATTAAAAGCTAAATAAACCAAAATATTGATGTTAATTTTTGACTGTGTAACTTTACAAAGGGCACCCCATAATTTCATCGGACATTTAATTGATTAATTGATAGTTAATAATTTAATTGTATATTTAATGATTTAATGATGTATTGAATAATTAAATAATTTAATTATGACGTATTTATTTATTTAATTTCACCCTGCATAGATAATACAGGATGATTTAAAAAAAAACGCTGAATTCTTCAGTTTTAGGTCCAGTCCTGCCTGAACCTGGACCAAAATCAACCATCAGCAAATGTTCCACCTGACGTGGTCAGATTTTAAAAATATATATATTCCTTTGATCTTTCCAACTTCTTTTTGGTTGTTTCAAATGGTTTATATTTTATTTTGAAAGGCCCAGAGGGCCGTGGAGCTAAACTCAGTTTTCTGCTGCGAGCGGGTGAAGTCGGAGACGTTTTTGATCAAACCTTAAAATAATTTGATGCTCTGTCTTGTTCGATGTCGGGAGAAGGTGAGGCAGCCATCTTGGATGTGATTGACTCCAGAATCAGGATCATTGACTTCACGGTTCACACCGAGACTAAAGCATTTACTCTGTTAATGGGCGATACAAATATAAACACACCTGCTCTCTGTTTCAGTTTTTAAACGCTGCTTTCATCCATTCCTGAAAATATTCCCAGATATTCTGGTACTTTAAAAGTTTCGGCTTATTTTCTACCAGAGCTAAAAACACCGACCCCTTGACGTGTTCCAGGTCAGCTTTACCCTGTGGTTTGTTTCCTTCACGCTTTAATGAGTTTCTGTTCCTGCTCACTGGACTCAGGTGGTTTTCCTGGACTCCCTGCAGGTGCCAGGAACCCTCCCTGCCTCTGTGGCTCCTGGTTTCGGTCACGTGGCTCCGGTTTGGCCAGAGTTAACAGAGCACTGCAAGCAGACACTTACAGAACCTCCTTTCTTCCCCGTTCTGGGCCGTCCCGGTTCAGGTATTTGATAAGACGCAGTTTCATTCCAGCCTCAAGGACTTCTGGCTGACGAGGGTTTGAATTCACTGAAACTGGGTTAATCTTTAAAAACGTTCCTCTCAGAAACAACATTTTTAATTATTTCTGCTCTTTGTGTGAACTTTGACTGTTTCTTACTATCGAACTACTTCTGCTCTATTTTTGTCCTTTTAGCTCATAAAACAAAACATTCGGCTCATTCAGGAGACAAGTGCTGTGACTTTTGGTTTTTGTAACTTTTATCCAAAATGTTTTAACTTTTCATTTACAAATATTTTCCCCTCAGACATTTATTAACATTTTTTCAGAAAGTCTTTTTAAAATCTGCTTTAACAATTTAGTCTCATGTATCTTTTAGCCACAGTTCTGCATCTTTTAGCTAGCTTTTTAAATTTATTTTAGCTAACCTTTTGCTGCTTTATTTAATCTTTTGCTACTTTAACATTTAGCTAGCCTTTTTCTGTTTTTAGTTGTTAGCTGGCCTTTTACTACTTTTAGCTTTAGGCTAGCTTTTTGATACTTTTATTTATCCTTTGATAT